CTCTGGGTAAGGGTAGACGGACGATTACTAGACTAGTGTTTAGGTAAAAGAAAAAAAGAGTAACACTCCCAGGTGAACCTACAGCACAGCTAAGGTTAGTAACAACTGATTCTACCAGGCTTTCCCCTCCCTTGGCCCAAAAGCCCCGCCCTATCCTCCTGCCCTTCCCTCCTTGCCTGTTGGCTCAGTGTTTATGGGCTCCTCAGCCCCTCCTTATCCCTAGAAGGGCACCTCCGTCACCCAGGGTCTGTCCTCAGTGATGCCATCATCCCTTTACCCCAGGAGTCAAATCTCTATTTTCCAGCCCCATCTCTCTCACAAGCACCAGACTGGAATTTCCAGCACCTGCAAGACAGACAGCTCCATCTGACCTGTGCTCATAAGGAGAATGCGGCGTGGCTGACTCTGACTTGTCATATCCTCCCTCAGGCCAGCTGCTCCTCTCTGCAGGCCAGGGTCACCCGTCACTCACCAAGTCCTGAGCGTCTTCCCTTCTGGGCTCATTGTCACCCTCCTCAGGGCCTGGCATCCCTTCCAGAACCCAGTCCCCCTGTCACCAGTGAAGAGTTAAGGCCAGGCCAGCATACCATACACCTTCCAGGGCCAAATGAGCCGGGTATAGTAGATGAGACAATGTGGAGATGGGAGCAAAGCAGAGAGAGACAGACCCACACAAGAGAGTCCATGCACTGTCTTGGGGAAATGGCCTCAATTCGACTTCAGCCAACTGTTGCTACATGGGAATCTGGCTCCAGATCGAGCAGTTTTCCAAGTGATGCTAGAAATCTGGGTCATTATGTGAAATATCTTTGTTAAATTTAGGGAACTTAATTTTTAAATATTTTCAAAAACTATCAGTGGGCTTCCAGTTTTCAGTTTCTGCTGTAGAACAATCTTCTAGAAGGACTATGTCACTTTTGTGGCTGCCCTCTGCTCAGAGCAAAGAGTTGATACCTTATGCTGAGTTCCAAGGTCCTGGCCTACAGCTAGTCTACAGGGAAAGCGTGTACCTACTGGCAAGAGCCTCCCTACGTGTGTAGCCCTTGAGTAATTCACTAAGTTTGGCACAGAAATACAATCGAGAAACAAGTTTCAGGTCCATCCCTCCCCGTCCCACCCAGGGTACCCCCACTCTTGTACACCTCTTCTCCTGCCCTTCCCCATCCTCTCACCAGTTCCACACACCAGCCCACGGTCAGGGCCCGCTGGAGACTATCAGCATCCTGCTTCCTCGGCTCCACCAGCTCCCGGAACACTATTAGCACCGTCAAACCCCGCTGGTACTTGCCTCCAATGGCGTTGTACTCCAGGACCTGGGGGCAAGGGTGGAGGGACAGGGCATCAGAATCCAGAGAGCAGCCACTCTGAGATTTCTCCTTGCCCTCTCCCACTTCCAACCCTAACCCCTCCCCCTCCAGAGAGCCTCTGGAGTTGCTACTGTCTTAGCTTCTTCCCCCAAGTCCTAGAGCACAGCAAGAAGTTCCCCAGTCCCCAGGCTCTCTCTGCCTTGTCTTCCTCAGTAAATTGACTAGAGATTAAAATCTGCTCCCAAGCCCAGCATGGGGCTTGAACTTGGGGAAAACTCTGTACATGCTACAGGAGTGGTGGCATGTTCAGGTCTCTCCTTCACCCCATCCCCAGCCCCACCTCTCCCAGACTTCCCCTTCCCAGCCCATGCCTCCCCCCACAAACACCTCCTTCTACCCATAGTTCAATCCATCTGTAAATAAAAGGCCTCTCTCACTTATTAAAGACAAGCCCCCCTCCACCTCCAAAGTTGGCCAGAGGATAGCTTGGAGGGGACCCAGGTTGGGTGACCCATCCCCGACTCCTCCAGGAGGAGGCATTTCCTGCTGGGGCCTCTCATTTTGCCTTCTGCTGCCCTGCTGTCAACCAGATTTAATTCACTGGGAAGAGTTCCCTTTTAATCTCCATCCCAGTGTAGACAGATCTCCTTTTCCTTAGTTCCCCTCAGACAAATGAGAGAGCACTGATTAAAAAAAAAAATTACTAGAGGGTGGCAGTGGGGGAGGGTATAGCTCAAGTGGTAGAGTGCATGTTTAGCATGCAGGAGGTCCTGGGTTCAACCCCAGTACCTCCTCCAAATACAAATAAATAAACCCAATTACTTCCCCCTCATTTAAAAAAAGAAAAAAATTTTCTTTAATTACTAGAAACTCCAAATGAATAAAGACTTAGGCAACTGAAGTTTCCCAGCAATAATTCCTGTCCTAGAGCAGGAGTTTCTGATGACATGTTAGCTTCACCTCAGACTGCCTTCCTCCCAGGTCCCTGCCAAGGTAGCACCTTATGATTTCTGGACACCTAATGCCCTTTCTCAACAAAATCAAAGACCCACCAGGTTCAAGGCCTTCACCTCCAGCGCCCACCACCCCCATGCTAAGCAGTTTGGATAGTCCACCAGAACCACAAGGCAGGATGGCTGGGCTGAGTAAATATACCTGCCCAGGCCCCAACTCATCCAGAGCTAACCCAGAGTCACTCAAGTAAAAGCCTGCTCCCAGACCTGTCAAAAGTCCCCCAAAAGCTGGAGCTGGGTCCCACACTTGCACAGAGTGACCAAAGATTCACTCAAGTTGTAAATCCCTCACCTCCTTCAAGCGGGCAACAGCATCTCCTATCTCTGGGTGCCTGATATCCTCCTCAGTGAGCACCTTGACAATCTGGGAGAAGTGCTGGATGAAATTCTGTCTTTCTTGGGCATAAACGTCCAATTTCTGATCTCCATTCATTCTGAGGGAGGAGTAAAATGCTCTGAGGAGAGGGAGGACAAGTCAGAAAGCTAGTCAGCTGCTCCCCTCCCCACGGCCCTTCACCCACACCACACTCACCGAGGCTCCTCTGTCCACGCTTGGCACCAGCAGCGGGTAATGTGCCAGGCCGCCAGGACTGGGCACCCATGCACCAGGGAGGGCCGCTGTAGGGGACCCAGCCACCTCTCCCGGGGCGCCCAGCAGGGGGCCGGCAGCAAGAAGACCCCCACAGATCTCAGCCAGCGGGACAGGGGCATCATGGAGGGGGTGGCATAGGGAGGGGGCACCGAGCACTCCCTGCGGGAGTAAGCACCAAAGGCAGATGCACGGTGGCAGTTCCCCAGGTCACCTCCCAAACTTTTACCCTCCGTACCCAGAATGCCCCGCTGTCTTCTGGGTTAAGCTTGAGGACATTTACAGGAAGAAATGCAGGGAACAAAAAGTTTGGCTAGGTGACTGAGACTCAACTGACTGTACTTAAAATAGGTGTGGCTAGAACTTACTGCCACCTAACTTTATCCTCCTCAACCATCAACTCCTTCTCCAGGGAGCCTCTGGAATTGCTACACTCTTGGCTTCTTCCCCCAAGTCCTGGAACCCAGCTAGAAGAGTCCAGAGTAAAGGACCTCAGGACCGGGGACTGGGAGAATCCTTAAATCACCCTATTTTATAGAGGTCAAGCTGAGGCTCTAGGAGGTAGGGAGACACCTGGGGAATGGCAGTGCCAAATCTAGAACCCAAGACTCTCCCAGTAGGCAAAAGAGGGGTGCGCAGGCTCTGAGATGCCCCAAGAAGAGAAGTGAAAACGGAACCCCTGAGTGCTCTGGACATGTGGTCTATGGCTCTGGGACTGGGCGTCCAGAGCCTTACAGAGCTGGGACCGCAAAGACAGCCTCGGAGCAACACTGGGCTCATGGGGACGGTTCGCAGCAAAAGAGCAAAGCAGTGTGCAGGCATATTGGGGGTTCCAGGAAAGCACATGGCAGAGTTCAGGAGTTTCTGCACATCCACAGGATCAGCCAGTTGGTGCCACCAACGTCCAAAACGGGGGAACTCCGACACAACAGACTGGGCCTCCTGTGCCTCAAAGTACTGCTACAGAGCTTAGGCTGAGTTTCTAACCTTTGCCTCCAGTCCCAGCCCCAGCCCCGCAACCTCTCTCACCTGTTTCCTGGATGCCGGTTTGCTGGTACAGATTGTTGGCGGGGTACTCCTAAAAGCCGGAACCACTCCACGCTCAGCTCTCTGGGTCTAGTAGTTCTCGATCTCTTTTCACTATAGGAAGAAATGCCTCGGTGGACTACAATTCCCGGCATACCACAGGAGGGACAAAGACAACGCGATCTAGCGTGGGCTGGCTGTGCGGAGACGAGCCGCACTGATTGGCTGTTTCCTCTCGTATGAGCATGGGGCCCTGTAACCAACAACCAATGGAAGGGCTGCGGCCCGGGCAGAATGCTAGGAGGAGTTGGAATGGGCAGAGGGTGGGATGGGAGTGGAGGCGCCCCGGTGAAAGAGAAACAGACTGGGGATTCCCCTGCACTCTGCCTTCCAGCTTTAACCTTTTACAAAGTTGCCATTATCTTCCTATGCAGTTGAGAGGTTACTACAATCCAGCAGGACCAGCTTTGCCACTTATTGGTTCTCTAACTTCTGCAAATCATTTAACTGCTCTGATCCTCGGTTAACTTCCATGAAACTGATTTCCGTCATTTGTTAAATGAGAATAACACCATGAGACAAAGTATATGAATGCTTTAAAAGCTCAAGAAAGATAAGACTCAGATCAGAAACTAGAAGCCTCATCCCCTATACATACATACACACAATGCTTACCCACCCACCAGGGCTTGACCTCGTTGGCTCCTTCATTATTAACTCTTCGAAATCCCAGTAACTTGACCCATCTGGAGCTACAGACTACCTAGGACAGAAATGGTTTGTCACAGAAATGGTTCTATCATTATGGAACAAAAACTACCGTGCAAGGATATACACTTTTACCACTGCTATTCAACATTGTACAGCCAAATTGGAAAAGTAAAAATCTGTTCACAGAGTATATGATCCTGTATATAGAAACTCCACAAGAAAGCTATTAGAGCTAATAAACTCAGCAAGGTTGCAGGGTACAAAAGCAACATACAAAAATCAGTTGTGCTTCTACATACCTGCAATGAACAGTCTCAGAAAGGAAATGAAGAAAGCAATCCTATTTATATTAGCATCTAAAGTAATAAAATACCTAAGAATAAAATTTAACCAAAGAGGTGAAAGACTGTACATGGAAAACTATAAACCATTATTGAAAAAATTAAAGACCTAAATAAATAGAAAATATCCTACATTCTTGGGTAGGAAAACTTAATATTGTTAAGTCACTCAAAGTGATCTACAGACTTAACACAACCTGTATGAAAATTCCAGCAGAACTTTTATGGAGAAGGGGAAAACTTATCCTCAAATCCATATGAAACTGCAAGGGGCCCTGAATAGCTAAAATAATCTTGATAAAGAAGAGCAAGATGGGAAGAGTCATAATTTCCACTTTCAAAACTTACTAAAAGGTAATCAAAACTATGTGGCTCTGGCATAAAGACAGATATATAGACCAATGGAACAGAATTGAGAGTCTAGAAGTAAACTCATAAATCTATGGCCAATAGGTTTTTGACAGAGGTACCCAGTCCGCTCAATGGGGAAAGAACAGTCTCTTCAACAAATGGTACTGGGAAGTTGGATTTCCACATGCAGAAGAATGAAGTTGGGAGCGGGGTATAGCTCAGTGGTAGAGTGAGTGTTTAGCATGCACGAGGTCAATCTGGGGTTCAATCTTCACTACCTCCACTTGTTTTTTTCCCCTTTTTCAGTTTTATTAGGTAGAATTATTACAGTTTGACTGCACATATATATTATATTTCGTGTAACTACATATATACAGTACTCAGTACCTCCATTAAAAAAAAAATGAAGTTGGCCACCCTACCTCACACCACACTCAAAAATTAACTCCAAGTGGATTCAAAATCTAAATATAAAAGCTAAAACCATAAAAAACTTACAAGAAAACAGGGGTAAGTCTTCATACCTTGGATTTGGCAATGGATTCTTGAGTGTGACACCAAAAGCATAAGCAACAAACGAAAAAATAAATTAGACTTCAAATTTGAAAACTTTTGCACAAAGGGCGCTTTCAAGAGTGAAAAAAAGTGAACAAAATGGGAGAAATATTTGCAAATCATACATCTGATAAGGATTTAATATGCAGAATATATAATAAACACATAAAACTTGGTAACAAAAATACAAACAACCCAACTAGAAAATGGGCAAAGCACTTGAGTAGACATTTCTCCAAAGAAAATACACAAATGGCCAATAGCACATGGAAAGATGCCCAATACCATTTGTCATTAAGGAAATGCAAATCAAAATCATAATAAAATACCGATTTTACACTTACTAGGATGGCTACAGTAAAAACAAAAAGCAAAAAACATACCAAAAAACTGCAAATAACAAATATTGGTGAGGATACAGACAAATTGCAGACCCCATACACTGCTGGTGGGAATGTAAAATGGTGCAGTAGCTAGGGAAACAGTTTGGTGGCTCCTCAAAATCTTCAACAGAGATTTGCTATATGACACAGCCATTCCCCTCCCACGTATATACCCAAAAGAACTGAAAACAGAGACTCAAACTTGTATGCCAATGCTCATTGCAGCATTATTTACAATAGCCAAAAGGTGAAAACAACCCAAATGTCCATCAACAGATGAATGGACAGACAAAATGTGGTATCTACATAAAGTGAAATATTATTCAGCCTTTAAAAGGAAGGACATTCTGACACATGTACCCACATGGATGAATCTGGAAGGCACTGTGCTAAGTGAAATAAGCCAGACACTAAAGAAAAAATACTGTATGATTCCACTTATATTAGGTACCTGGAGTCATCAAATTCATAAAGACAGAAAGTAGAATAGTGGTTGCCAAGGGCTGGGAAGAGGGAAGAACAGGGAGTTTAATGAGTACAGAATTTCAGTTTGAGAAGATTTTGAAAGTTCTAGAAATGGATGAAGGGGATGGTTGCAGAACAATGCAAATATACTTAATGCTACTTCACTGTACACTTAAAAATAATTAAAATTGTAAACCTTACGTTTATCTTACCACAACTTTAAAAATACTAAAAATTGTTGTACTTCCCTGGAGTAGAACTAGAGGGAGGTCCAGGAAAACGTTATTACAGGGTAAATTACCACCCAGGTGAAGGAGGATGTGACCTTGCTAATACATGGCAGGGCTGGGTTTGCCAGATCGGGCGGCCTCCACTTTGGGAGAGGAGCCATGAGGGAAAAATAGGAACCTCAAAGGAAATTAGAAATCAGGTCATGAGAGCCTTGAGTGCTAGGAAACACCTCAGGGAAAAGCACAAAGCTAGAAAAAAAAAAAAAGAAAGAGATTACTCCCTCCAATTACCCACGTATACCATGACACCTGCCCATCCCAAA